CTCTCTCTCTCTCTCTCTCTCTCTCTCTCTTCCTCTCTCCCCCTCACCCGCCGACAACACGCGGCGACCTGTCTCTCGGCAAAGGATTTACGACTGATGGCGCGCTCGAGACTCGGGCCACGAGGTCGAACTACCTGTTTTCGTCCCCATCGAGGGGCGGAGATGTTGATATCGAAAGGTGTTTCCTCTTGTCGATTCGAAGGGGGAACATGGGTCGACGGCCTGGAGGGTTTTGATGATAGTGTTTGCGAACACGCCCACTGTTTTCACTGAGGAGAATGGAAGAGGTTAATGTTTGCTAATGCTTTTCTAAAATAAACTCGCGATGATTCTCTCTCTCTCTCTTTCCTTCTTTAATACCCTCTCGGGATTATCGAAGAGATGTTTTTTAAATATAAATATTACTCGTTCGATTTGTAATCTCGTAGAAAATATTTCGCACTTGTCGATGAGAATTAGAGAAGACTAAATTGTCCCCATCTCACAGGGAAGAAAATTATTAAATCGCAATTCATCTCATCAAATGTTACGAATATTTCACACTTGTTCTGTTCATAAATTTACGATCGATTTGAAGATTTCGCGACAAATGTTTTGCATCGTTTTCGGTGCAAACCGGATAAAATATCAGAGAAACGAACATTCGCGTGATCGGACGGGATTGGTGATTTATACATATAGAGAGAGCGCGCGAAATCCCGCTTTTACCGTGTCTGGCCAGGTTGATGAGGATTTACGAGGCAAAAATGGTGGGCGTGCGAATAAGGAAGAGGACGGGCGCGAGGAAACGAGAACTAATGGGCTCGATGCTCGAAAAGTCGGATAATACAGCGGATATTCCGCGTTAATAACGCGTTACGCCGTTAATTTGTCACGCGATCTCGGTATGAATTGCGCCGTTATCCAGCAAACCGAATTTGCATCTCTCGACGTCGAAAACTAGGAGAGGTTCCTTTCGATAGACAGAATTTTTTCGCGCCCAATCAGGATCGTTCGTGATTTGCATGCCGGCCGCGAGAAAGGAAGATGCAGATATTGGATACCCGTACGAGCTGTATCCGTGACCGAGTTACACGTGAATCGATAACGGATGATAATATGTATATTAGGTAATTTCATACGCGGCCCATTGGCGTCTCCCGTATTGCGATGCAACAATCTTGTGTGATTTTTAACTTATTCGACTTATCAACACCGTGTATTAAAAGAGCAAGAGTAAGAAGAAGTCGATCGAATTTATTCGATCGAAAAATTTGTTCGGGTTACGGATTTACAGACTCGTTCTACCAACTCGATACCTAATATCGCGCTCACACGTATATATATATATATATCAGACGAATGCTCGACGATATAATCCTTCTTCATGCGTTGGTCGCATCTCTTTCACAGATTTTCACCGGAATTCCCGGGGGAGTGGAAGCTTGATAACTCCGATACTATGGTAAATTTTCCACGATCTTTCATCAAGGATATCCCTCCTCCCATCCTGGATTTTCAATATTCGAGGAATCGTTTCGAAAACGGGGAACCGAGTCGGATACATCATCGTCCATTGTCGATTCGTGGGCATACACACGACGCGATGGCATCGAGAGCTTTGACTTGGACGAATATCGACGTAATATCGACCGTTACTGTCGACCAACAACGAGCAGGAGCAGCTTGTTGTACGGCCGTTCTTCCGTGAAATAATGGAATCTCGAGAAGCTACTCTCTGGTTTACATACACTGATAGCGTCCCGTGATTTCAGTTACGATATTTCGTCTTTCGAATTTCGTTTCTCCTCGAATACAAAATCATACTTTTTCCCTTTTCGAACATCCATTATTATTCTTCAAGTTCAACGCGACTGTTAATCAAAGCGCAAACAACAAGAAGCAACCTTTCTCGAGAATAATTTCTCGACGAGCGACATTTTCGTGGCGAAAATAAGGTGAAAAAAAAAAAAAAATAAAAATAAGAACTCGTTCGCGCGATGTTCCAATAAGTTGGAAGGGTAAGAGAAAGTATGGTAAAGCATAGTCGTTAAATATTTATAAAATGGTGGCTGGTTATAAGTAAAACGACGTATCGGGTAACTCCGTGTAGCTGGTGGCTCTCGCGCGTAAAGTCATCATTTCCATTTAATGCCCCCATGAATATCTTCTCCCACGGAGAGGAGAGAGAAGAAGAAGAGGAAGAAGACCCGGCTGGAACACGGGATTCCGCAGCTCTAACTTTTGCACGAGGAGGACGGGGGGAGGATGTAGATCACGCGCGTACACGTCGGCCATGTATCGCGGTGAGATGGGCGTAAATCGGCCGAGATCGATGAAACCCTCCAGCGGAGGATAAACGAGGATCCATCGTGATCTCGCCGATTTTCATTCTCATCCCAACCATGGGATGAGAAACGATGAATTTTCGACGACGAGATTCAATGTATAAAATGTATAAAACACGTTTCGCTTCGAACAATCGACGACGAAAGAAACGTTACGTAATTCGAGATGAACGAACGTCGTATCTCATAGGAGGAGAGGGAAGAGAGTTTGAATTTTCGAATTGCAGGGAAGGGTTCGTGCGAAGTATTTTGCTCGGTAATTAAAAAAAAAAAGAGTTGCAAAGTAATTCGTTGAAATGGATACTCGTTTGTCGGACCATGCGTTTGATCTCCGCGGCACGATTATACGCGGAATGGAATGCCGTGCTTTTCCGTTAAATCGAACGGAATGTTCGCGGAGGATAAACGGGAGAGGATAATCCGGCATAATCCCCTTCTCCAGAGGGGAAAATAGAATTTTTCCTGATTTACGACTCGAAGGAAATTTCAATTTTCGATTAACGGGAAGATTTAAAGCGAGATATAAATATCTGTGTTGGGCAATTAAAAGGGAGACGTCGAGAAGTAATTCGCTGGAACGCGACAAATACAATAGGGACGTTTTTCGATGAATATCGAGATCAAATCGGATTTAAAATGGAGAATATCCCGAATTTCTTTTAACTTTTCGACGGGAACTTTATTTAGAAGAAACGATTTATACAGGATAAGTCGATTAGAAAGGGTGAATCAAAGTAATTCCACGGAAAACGGAAAACAGGAAACGGAATAATTCATTTGCTAAAACGCATTCCACGATTGTTTCGTTCTGTTCAGGACACAATGGAGAGCCAGGCACAAAGGAGATACTAAGCTTCTGTTCAAATCGAGATCAATGGAATGTCCATGGAGGATAAACGAAGGGGATAGAAGCGTAATCCTTCCGATGGATTACGGAAAGCATTGAATTATTTTCGATGACAGAAATATATAATTCGAAGTGCGAACCGTTGAATGAATGAAGATTCGGCTTCGAGCGAGGCAACAACAAAACGATGAAATAAATTGAATTTGTAGCGCATCTGGGAAACGTTTAACGGAGGGGGAAGGATTTGTGCGCGGAGATGCATTTTAAAAATTCATAATATCCCCGCGATAAATATTCTCGCGCGGCATCGCTTAATCACTGCGACGGGTGTCGTCGGTTGGCCGCGTTTTCAATTTCGACGAGCGACGCCCGTTTATTTATAACCCCTCCCCTCCTCTCTAATCGCTCGCAAAACATGATCGATGCCCTCTTCCGCGTCGTGCCCCTCGAAATAAAATCCAGATGATTCTGTCCCGCAAAAAAGAAAAAAAAAAACGCGA